GGATGTGTATTATTAATTAGAACTCAGAAGGGATTTTATTGGAGTACTCAAAGTGATACTAGGAATTAACATAATAAGCAGTGATATTATATTTTCATTGATTTTTGTAGCAAAGACACAATGATAAACTAAAACAAGAGATTTTTCAAGTTTTTTCAAAAAATAATGTGGAATAAACCAACAACATATCACTGATGCCAAAAATCAGTTATATCATCGGAAAAAGTACAGAATAATTATTTAGCGAAAATAAAATGGCATGAGGCTAAGTAGGGAAATATAATTTAGTCTGGAATATTGGGGCAGGGCAGAACAAAGCAGGAAAAGGGGATGGTTTTAAAATATTCAAAAGACTGACTTAAATTCAGTTCAAATCAAGGTGAAAAATGCAGAGTAACATTATGCTTTAACAGTTCTTTGTTATAAACACAGAAACAAGTATCACTGAATTGTTCACTTTGAACTTGAAGAATGACAATAATTTTATTGTAAACTAAGGTGCAAGATTGCAAAATGCCAAATTACCGAAGGCTTCAATATTTATATTATTTTAACAGGATTACACTGGACTGGTTCAAGCAACACTCAATAAAATATCGCTATGTATAAATAACAAATTTGTAAAACTCGAGGCAGTGAATTAATGAAGAAATCATACAAATGTGTGAGCTGCTCTCAATTAGAGGATTCAATGAGAGTATTTTAACCTGCAGAACTACTGGAAAGACAATGTATGGCCAAGCCACTGTGTTCAAAGACTTGTTTCCAGTTTGTAGGCTCATCCTGGACAACAGAAATGCAACCACAATTGGCCTTTGGTTAAAGGAAATGGAAAACATCCAGAAGTCTCAATTTGCATAGTCAGTCAACAATCCTGCTGAAAGTCTGTGTAAATGTCAGTGCATAGTCCAAGTTTGCCAGGTCTCCAGGTTGAACATTCCATCATTATTTCCCATGAAGGCACAATTACGAAGAATGTTAATTAGATACCATAGAGCTAACAACAAAGATGGAACCATAACCTAGCACATGGGAGAAGAAGAAATTCAGATTCAAGTGAATTACAGAAATAATTCAGTTTTGCTGCATTTTGAACACAGTGCATCTCATTATGAATACCATAAGTAAAAGTCAACACTTTCAAATTGTTTTGAAAATAATCTGCGCTTCTCGAATAAAGTATGTTGTGATGGGCACTGTATTGTTAGAACTGATTGAATTACTGGCATAAAACATCCAAAACACTAGAAATTAAGAAACAGGAGTTGAACCAAAGTAATTGGCCCAAAGACTTTGTACTTCCATTCAAAATTGGATCCTCTAGTTCTAACGTATAATTTCTATCTTTTACATATTTTTTCAATGTCTGTCATTTCCTTGCTCCACATGATAATTTCTCCGTCTCCATCTGAGACCGGTCAAAGTTTACATTAGTTACTCTCCTTTACCTTGTAAAAGCTCTTATAATTTGTTTTCATATTCTCTGCTAGCTTACTCTCATTCTGTCTTTTTTTCTTTTTTTAAAAGAAAGTTTTTGGTTGCACATTCTGGAATCTGGTTTCTAGAATACTGCCAATCCTCAAACTTATTATTCTTTGCAACATGATAAACCTTGAATAAAATATTACTCTTAAAAACTTTCCTAGCAAGTAACAGATGGATTTTTTTTTGCTCAGTTTTGTTGAAGAAGGAAAATGTTGAACATTTGTACTTTTTCTTAAAAGATTTACCAATATTTACTTATTTATTCTTCCTCCTTTCGCTGATTTGTCCAATTAACCTTCATATTAAATGTAATCATATTTATTTAGTTTAAGATTTTTAATAAACCCGGCCTTATTTAATCTTTATGACAAATTCATTGTTTGTTCTATCTCACATTATTCCATAACACCGCTGAAAGCATTCTACAAACTCATCTTTCACATTATCGTTGCAAATTTGATTTGACCAGTCTACATGAAGATTAAACTCCCAAGATTATCACATGGTCTTTGTTACAAAATCGAACTAAGTCTTGGCTAACGCTCTGCCCAATGACAAAACTACTGTTAGGGAGTCTATATACTTCAGGCAGAATTTTATGACCTTTGTTATTCTGAATCTTCAACTTAACTGGCACAGGTTCATAATGAAGAAAGCATTTGGTACACGCGTCTATATTGGTCAGTGCACCGAGTATAGGAATTGGGATGTCACGTAGCGGCAGTACAGGATATTGTTGCAGGAACAGCAACTCATATTCCGCTTGGGAACCCTGCGGCTCAATGGTATCAATGTGGACTTCACAAGCTTCAAAATCTCCCCTCCCCCTGCCGCATCCCAAAACCAGCCCAGCTCGTCCCCGCCTCCCTAACCTGTCCTTCCTCCCACCTCCATCTCCTACCTACTAACCTCATCCCGTCCCCTTGACCTGTCCGTCCTCCCTGGACTGACCTATCTCCTCCCTAACTCCCCACCTACACTCACCTTTACTGGCTCCATCCCCACCTCTTTGACCTGTCTGTCTCCTCTCCACCTATCTTCTCCTCTATTCATTTTCTATCTGCCTCCCCAACCCCCCCCCCTATTTATTTCAGAACCCCCTTCCCCTCCCCCATTTCTGAAGAAGGGTCTAGGCCCGAAACGTCAGCTTTCCTGCTCCTCTGATGCTGCTTGGCCTGCTGTGTTCATCCAGCTCTACACCTTGTTATCTCAGGATATTAGTCAGGCCACTTTTTGGAATACCCTCCCTGCTAGAAGAAAGATGTTGGTAAACTTGAAAGGGTGTAGAAAAGATTAACAAGGGCATTGCCAGGGTTGGAGGGTTGGAGCTATAGGGAGAGGCTGAATAGGCTGGGGCTATCTTCCCTGGAGCATCAGAAGCTGAGGGATGACCTTAGAGATTTAGGGGCACGGATAGGGTGAATAGCTAAGGTCTTTTTCTCAGCATAGGGGAGTCCAAAACTAGAGGACATGGACTTAAGGTGATAGGAGAAAGAGTTAAAGGGGACCTGAGGGGCAACATTTTCATGCAGAGCATGGTACAGGTATGGAATGAGCTGCCAGAGGAGGTGGAGGAGACTGGTTCAATTACAACATTTAAAAGGCATCTGGATGGGCATATGAATAGGAAGAGTTTAAGAAAGATATGGGCCAAATGCTGGCAAATGGGACTAGATTAATTTAGGATACCAGCACCTCCACATCACAATGATCTGGACCAAGGAAGTGAGAATTGTTGCAAAGTTTGCAGATAAACTCATTGCTGCAGAGGGCTGTGGAGGACAAGTCAGTGTATTTATTACACAGATAGATAGATTCTTGATTAGCAAGATGATCAAGTGTTACAGGGAGAAGGCAGTCGAATGGAGTTGAGAAACATATTAGCCATGATCGAATGGCAGAGCAGACTCTATGGGTTTAATGGCCTAATTCTGCTCCTGTATCTTATTGTCAAACAGAGATCTGTAAACTACAAATAGTGATGATCAAGACTAATTTATTTCTGATATGACTGACCAGGAATCTCTCCTACTCTTAATCCTGCTAACTGTGTGTGCTGGAAAGATTCAAGTTGATGAATGTACCCTGCTTCGGCCATTAAGTCCTGGACTGGGGCTTGACTGGAGGTGCTGGATCATGGGTAGGAATGCTACCCACTCTGCCACAAGATCTTCTAACATATCCATCCAACCTCATTTGTTATTTACTTTGTTACTTCATTAAATTAGAAACAAGCTAACCAAATTAAATTACCTAGCTTTGGAGTAAAAATGTGCATCAGTTCCTGGAGATACTAGTAAAATGAATTAAAAACAGCATTCTTATTTATAAAGCACTCAAAATTTCTTGATTCCTCTTCCAGCAGCAAGTTCCATCCTAGTACAAGTACCAAGTCTGCTTCCATTTTCAGCTTACAGACACTTAGCAGAAATTATCCATTAGCATCAGTGAACCAGCCAGTTTATCCTATCTAGCTTGCAGTTTCTTCTGGAATTTTAAAGTTCAAAATCAAATTCAAAATATTAGTCTAAATTATAGCTCAAAGAACACGCATTATGACGATTCCACTTGCAGAATTCCAAACCTTAGCCCTTAGGTCCCTAAATACATTTTTGCCACTACACACAATTATATACAGAGCTTATACTGCACATTTAAGTTTAATATCAAAAGCTCTCACAAGTAGCAGCTATTTAATACTCAGCACACCATCTGCAAAGATACAAGTTCAGAAAATGGAAATAAAAAAGTTTCTAAGATGCAGAGTTCCAAGATTTAAAAATGCAGCATGAAATTCATTATTATTTCTGACACTATATTTAACACTATTTTTCCTGTTGAAGTATGTTGTTACTATAAACAAAGCACCTTAAACATCACAAGTGATAGTGGCAGCACTGTAAATAAGGATACAGTTTATTACAAGTGAAGTCAGCCCAAAGCAGACTTGATTCAGACCAACAGTAAAGTTTAGTGCACGTTGGGCTCATAGCCTGTAGATTATTTAAATTAAAAATATCAAACACTGAAATAATTTAACTACTTTTATTAAAACTTCTAATAAAACTCAAGTAACTAGACTGAACAATATTTTTTATTCACTTAATGTACCTTACTTTCTTTATATGTTCTCCACTCCAGAAAGCAGTAATTTATACCACAGCACAGTCCAAAAAGGTGCCAAAAGCCTCACTTACCAAAATTGGCATTTTGTCAAGTTGAAGCATCACCTGGCCTGAGCCCTTTAGTTCACAGTAATCTTGCTTTTACTTGACACCTTCACATTTCCACTTTCTACCACAGGTTACGCGATAACATTTATAGGGATCAGGGCTTAAAAGTGTAAGATTTCCTGGTCTTCATAGTTTAATCTGCTACCTCATATAATCATATACAACATATTCACTTACACAGTCAAAAGCACCAGGTCTCTTGAAATGATTAAGTTGACAAAATACACATCGTTAGTCCGCGTAAGTTGGAATTTGGTTATAGTTATGAAAAGTTTTACTCACGAGGGAAGTTATACATGAAACAGGACTGGGCAGCTATCATCCATTCAGCTCTTGTTTCACAGAAGATGGCTATGTTGGCCTTTGGCCGTTGGCCCAACATAGCCAATCCACTCCCAAAATGTGTAACACGACGATGGACCTCATCATAGGTGAGCCACTTGTAATTTCCAAGTATTAACTGGCATGGACAAGAGAAAAAAAAAATTAGTAGATCATTTTAAAGCAGCAACGCTGCAAATAGATAAAAGCATTGATAGATATCTGTACTACATAACCACATGCTATTCAATACATAGAAACAGGACATTCAGCTCACGTGGTCTGTGCTTTGGTTCATGTTCCAGCCTTTTGCGGACCTAATTCATCTAAACCCACCAATATGTTCTTCCAGTTCTTTGTGCCTCCCTGAAATGTACATCAGTCAACTCACCTTATTCCTTGTAGTAGTGAGTTCCATGTTCCAACTAATTCCTGATTATAAAAGTTGACCCAAATTCCCTATTAGATTTGGCAGTGACCATCTTATATCTCTGGCCACACAAAATATGGGAATGTCTCGACCTCTTTTTTTCAAACACTTCAAGAATGTTGTCCCCTCACTCCCTGTCTTCTCTTTTTCAAAGATGATCCCCAGGCTGCTCAATTTTTTTCCTTATCATAATAAATCCTTAATTCTGCTATCATTCCTTCAAATTTGTTTTGTACCTTCTCCAGGATATGGAGACAAAAACTGCTCTCAGTACTCCAAGTGTGATCTAATCAGGGTTTTAAACAGTTGAACATAACTTCAGTTATTCAGTTCTATCCCTTGAAAAATGAACTTATTTTTATGATCTTATTAACTGCATTTCCATTTTTATTGGTTTCTGCACCTGTGCACCATAATCTATATCTTAACTCATGGGGCAGCACTGTGGTTAACGCCAGGGAACCGGGTTCGATTCCACCCTCGGGTGACTGACTATGTGGAGTTTGCACATTCTCCCCGTGTCTGCGTGGGTTTTCTCTGTGTGCTCCCGTTTCCTCCCACAGTCCAAAGATGGTGGATTGGCCATGCTAAATTGCCCGTAGTATTCAGGGATGTTTAGATTAGGTGGGTTATGGGGGATGGGTGTCTGGGTGGGATGCTCGGAGGTCAGTGTGGACTTATTGGGCTGAATGGCCTGTTTCCACACTGTAGGGATTCTATGGTAGAATGATCTATGAACAATATTTAAGCTTTTAATTTCTAAAGCACATGTAATTTTCTGATTCTTCCGACCAAAATATATCACCCAACACACAGCAATACTTATATTCATTTACTAATTACATGCCCACTCTGAAGTTATCAGCGCCTTCCTGTTTTTTGTCATTCTCCCCTGCATTAAATTCAATCTCCAGCACACACATACCACTACAATTTGATGCTGTATGCAAATTTAGAACATGTATTTCCAACTATCGCTTTATTTACATGGTCTACAACAATGGTCTCAACATCTATCTTTACGGAACGTAACATTTTGCTCATCTGAATAGCTAATTTTAATCTGGTTATGTTTTGTAACCAGAATGCCATCCAATTTGCTACTTATTCCCTGACACCTGAGCTAGATGAGCTGCATCCAATGGGGAAAGTAAAGGTGGAAAATGTAGATACACTGGTCGTCATTTTCTAATTTTTCTTAAAGACAGGAAAAGTTTTGAAAGATTAGTGAATTGCAAGTTCTATAATCTTGTTCAATAAAGGATGTTGGAAAAAAACCAGTAACTCTAGGCCAGTCATTTTAATTTTGGTAGTAGAAAAACCTTTAAAAACAATAATGTGGGACAAATTTAACAGCCACTTGGATTAATATTGATTAACTGAAGGAAAACCAGCGTGAGATTTGTTTAAGGAGAATAGTGCTCGACTAATTTGAGTTTTCAAAGAAGTAACAGAGGGAAATTGACATTAGTGCAGTTGACTTACAAGTCATTTGATTAAATGCAACATAACAGACTTGCCAGCGAAGTTCAAGCCCTCGAAATCAGAAGTTACACACTCAACATGGAAACAAATTTGACTAAATGACAAAAAAATAGTATGGTGAATAGCTGATTCTCCAGGCTTGAGCGTATAGTACGATTTCAGGCCACTCTTTTCTTCTACATTAAACGGCCAAGACTTGGATGTGCAGGGCATGATTTGCATGTGGTACAAAACGTGAGAATATTGTGAACTACAAGAAGAGTAGCAACAAACTTAAGAACATGGACTGATAGAAGCAAAGATTATCACGGACTTGTTAAGATAGATTGTGTCTGACTAACTTGACTTTTTTGCCAATAGCAAGGACAATTGATGAAGATAATTGACTGGTCCAGATGAATTTTAGCAAGGGATTTTTAAGAGGTGTACAGGAAGTGAGGGACCTCGAAGTGCTATGCCCACAGAACCCTGAAAGCAACTGGATATTTCAATATCATGGTTAAGGCATATGGAAAACTTTCCTTTACTAGTCATGATACAGAATAGAAAGAGCAAGGAGGTTACGCTGAATCTTATAAAAAAAATTGTTTAGGCCACAACTTGATTGATGTACTCAGTTCTGGTCATCTCATTACAAAAAATGTTGTAACTGATAGAGAAGATACAGAGGAGATTTACAAGAATGTTGCCAAGACTGACAAATTGCAATTCAGGAAAGACAGGTTGGGGTTTTAATTGCAACAGAGGCAGCCGAGGGGAGATTTGATTCAAGTGCATAAGGTTGCAAGGGGCTTGAATAGACTTGTTGGGAAGGACTCATTACCCTTAGTTCGGGGCGGGGGCAATAATTAGAGGCAATGATTTAAAGAAAGTGGTAGAAAGATTAGAGGGGAACAGTAGGAAGTTTTCTTTTCTCCAAACAAATGGTAGCAGACACAGAAACCCGCAATTTATTAGAAAAATCTCCAGATATGCAGCTGAAGCCCTGTAATATCGTAGGTTATCAACCAGGTGATGGAAAATAGAATGAGGCTGTACAGCAGATTTTTTGGCTGGTGCAGGGACAATGGGCAGTAGCTTCCTGTGCTATTAATTTTTTTTGAATTTACTAAATATTCTGAGGGTACCTGAAAAGAAGGAAAGTACCGGGAAGTGGGGTCAGAGTGATGAGGTGACAGTACATCAACTATTCCTGAGGAGAGTCAGTATGGACATGATAAATCAATGGCCTTCTGTGCTGTAAGAATTCTACAATTCCATGTATTCACCCAGTAATACTCAACAGCAGGAACTAGAACAAAATTAACGTTCACATTAAATGGAATATCAACACTGCCCTCCAGTGTTGAAAAAGTTTAAATATTTCACTAAAGAATTCCACTTCGAATCTTTGAAAATGTAAAGCAAAATTTTCCTCCTTCAGTTTATCTCATTGCTTCAATCACTATAAAAGTCAAAGTCTCATATTCTTAATCCAGCAGTATGTCCGGACAAGACTAAATGACCAGAAATGCAGAATGTTGTTTTGATGCTATAACATATCAATACAACAATTTTGAAGTTAAATTCCTTTTGCGATGGTTTTCTGTTCAGTTGTAGTTTTAAGGTACGTTTTAAAAAGGTAAAAACCTATGCAAAGTCCTTACGTTCCTCAAGATTCAGAGACCCTTCTGAAGTATTTAATATATTTCAAATCAATTAACACAAGAACATAAAGATTCAGGATGCATAAAATTTTTTGTTGTTACACACACATTTTTGGTCGCCTAGCATCGCTTCAGGAAAGCTTCAGGAAAGCTTCAGTGGACACATTTTGAAAAGACAGACATACAGTAAAAACTATTATCCTGTGTGCACAGGAAATAGATGATGCAAACTGATCAAGGATGAAAGTTAACAGAGTTACATTTACTGATGGAATACAATGCCACACTTCTGGAATGAACCTTTAATGAATAAAGTATAAAACAGTGGGCAGGTGGTCAAGAAGAACAGGGTTCTTTTTACTTCTGAAAAGAAATTAAAATTTCAGATAATAGTGTGCAGGCACTCAAGAGGGGCTAATCCTCAGCATCTCTTGCAATTGTCCATGAGGACGTAGGTGGCATAACAAAATTTTAGTTCACGATTGCCATAGTTTCAGATAATAGTTAACAGGTGTTTATATTAAATCTTTTACGTTTTCTCATGAAAAACCTTCAAACATAACGTGGCAACAATTTTCTCCAAATCCTCCTTAATGTTACACTTTAAATTGATGACTTCCAAACACAAATGCCATATTTAGTAATGCATCTTTTATGCTAGAAACAGATTGAAAGGTCCATATACTGCCTTTGACATTGATTAATTTTCTCATGAAATCTCTAAAATAAGAAATGTTGTTAAAGACAACACCTTGATCCAAAGGCTTAATTAATAAGGTTACATTGAGAGGCAGAAAATGGTAAAAATGTTATTTATATTAATCTGGATGAGCTCAATAATTGCCTAGCAATAGATCTGCTATAACGAGGTAGTGACGAAGTGGTAATGTCACTGGACTAGTAATCTAGAACCACAGGCTTTTAGGAACATGGGTTTGAATTCCACCATGGCAAAAAGATTAAAATTCAAATTCAATAAAAATCTGGTACAAAGATGAAACAACAACAAATGGCATAAACAGCCAGCTGCTTCACTAAAGTTCTTTAAAAGGAAGGAAAGGGGTTATCTTTATCAGGTTTTGCCTAAATGTCACTCCAGACCTGTAGCATATGGCTGACTTTTATCTTGACTCCAGTCAATTAAAAATGCTGGCCTAGCCATCAATGTGTCTCTACCATGAGCAAATATTTCAAGAAGTCCTCAGGCTTGCCTAATTTTTTTTTAGGAATGTTTTTACTACAGGTGCAAAGCCATGAAAAAAAAACTATATCTGAAAAAAAGTCATTTCTGTGCACATCCATTATTCTGGGCATTGCAAATTAAAGGTAACGGTGCAATACATTGAAAACGTTCAAGGATACCTAAATTTTCCCAACCATTAGCTCTAATTTACACAAGCCTGAAACATTTTCACATACAAGCTCTGTAATTCTACCTTTGTTTTTAAACCCAGCAGACATGATTCACTCATACTGTCAGGGTTGAATTCAGCAAATATTGCCTACACAAGCCAGTTTAGACTGCATCCTAAACTTTGATAACGGGATAGTTACATTCAGAAATTTGATTTGAAAGAA